AGGTGAGGGGAGCGTGCTCAACAGCAGGCTTGTTAAGATCTTTGAAGCTATACACACCGAATAAACAACGAGCACGCACCAGCTACGAGCACACTCACACACACACCACACACACACACACACACAATAACACGCCGGCAACTCCCGGGACTCATTGGGTGAAGGTCCTCGCCTCAAGGGGTCTGTGGTTTTGCAGCAACCCCACCACACACACACACACACACACACACACACACACACACACACACACACACACACACACACACACACACACAACACAACACACACACACACACACACACACACACACACACAACACCACACAACACACACACAACATACACACACACACACACACACCACACACACACACACACCCCCACACACACACCACACACACACACACACAACACACACACCTGTGAAGCAGACCGAAGAAATGTTGCTTCTCCACAAATGTCCCGTACCATCTAATGGCAGCGAAAATATATTAGGTATTAAGACACTGATATAATCGATCTCCAAAACACTGAAATTGGTTTTTAATTAACGTATAAAAATATACATAATACAGTATAGCAATTATCCACGCTCTTAAATAATTCCTGTTTCTTCTTTCATGTACAGTTAAGGTTTCTCTCTCCGCCTTTCCGCACTAAAATTCCATATTATAAATCTGTAATAAAAGTTTCTTTACTCATATTTGTATGCAGGTAGTGAGTTCTGTATACTCGGACAGTTTTCCTGAAATAAAACGGAAAAACTGGCCAAATATCACTTTTCTTACAGTTTCAGAATATAACCAATACAGAGCCCGACTGTGTAACTTTTGATTGTTGGTGTAAAATCTCATTATTTTGACCAAAATATACTTTTTTCTTTAGATGTTACACATACGCTGGTCTGTTCATATACTATGAGAGTTGTTTCTGCAAATAACTTGTGGGAAATTGAAGGACATTGCATATTAACAGTCGATTTTATGCTAACAGTATCTCAAATATATCAATATCCACACTACAGTCTAACCTTTGACTGATGATGTAGTCAACTGTGTGATTACAACGTCTGTGTGAACTGGAGAGAAGTCGCATGAATAACAAAAAGAGAAAGATGGTTCAGTTTGGTTTCATTATAACCATCAGATAGATAATGGTGTGAGGAGAAACTGGAGGAAGAGAGAGGACGGTTGACTCGTTATAAAAACAGCAGAGTGTTTGAGAGTGTAAACCTGCTGACTTCTGTGTGAGTCTACATACACACACACACCACACACACACACACACACACACACACACACACACACACACACACACACACACACACACACACACACACACACACACACACACACACACACACACACACACACACACACACACAGCCTGGGGCAACATCCCAGACCTTATCGTGAACCCAGCAGGTCTTCAGTGATGTTTCCACAGCAAGAAAACACTGGCCGTGAAGAGGCAGAGGAACGGGAGGGAGAGGGGGAGAAAGGGAGAAGTTTGGTGTGACACCAAGGCAGATTGGGAGGGAGGGAGGAATAGAGAGAAAGGGAGAGGGGGAAGCAGTTTGATATGACACCCAGGCAGATTGGGAGGGAGGGAGAGGGGGAAGCAGTTTGGTGTGACACCCAGGCAGATTGGGAGGGAGCGAGTAATAGAGAGAAAGGGAGAGGGGGAAGCAGTTTGATGTGACACCCAGGCAGATTGGGAGGGAGAGGGGGAAGCAGTTTGATGTGACACCCAGGCAGATTGGGAGGGAGAGGGGGAAGCAGTTTGATGTGACACCCAGGCAGATTGGCATCATCCTCTCAGGACAATAAGTGCAGCTGATTGAGAAGCCTCGTTTCTTTTTGGATGGAAATTAGGAACACGATAAAAGAGCTGGTCACATCCATTTATACTTTTTTGAGGTACTTCAGGAAACACAAAGTTCTTCATAAGCAAAAACTACTTATAATACTTACCCACCCTGTCCCAGGTAATCAACAGAGTAACTCAAAGCTGCTTCTACTCCAATACCATGGGTTATTCATCTAAAAAAATCTAATACATGATGATGTTCTTTTATTATTATATTAATATGCCTGAAAGTAAAAACACTGTATTGGCTTTCACCTTTAAAAGCTGCAAAATTCAACAGATTTACACACTTACTAAAATACAGTGATATAATTCATGTTATTTCAAAAACAGAAATTCTCCATGAGTACTTTATAGTACTTTCATATATTTTGATGCTGATACTCTCGTACTTCTACTGAAGAAATATGTTGTCATGCCAGACTTTTACTTGTAACGGAGTATTTCTACACTGTGGTGTTAACACTGTTACCTTTTGTTAAAGTACTTCTTCCACCTCTGGTCACATCCTGTCTCCATATTTTTAAGCAGAGGTGGAAAAAGTACTCAGATATCTTCAACAAAGTAAAAGTACAAATAACGAGGTCTCAAAATACTTCATAACAAGTAAAAGTCCTGAATTACTCCTGAAATATATACATTAAGTACGGAGGTTTTATCAGCTCCATGTACTCAGTATCAAAAGGAGAAGTAGTCTTTTCACAGTATTATATTCGTATAGAATAGTATACATGGGAGAGCATTGTGAAGATGTGGTTTGTAATTGTGGGGGCATTTATAAATACTTTTTAGATTCTATGGTTGTTTTTATGTATTAGTAGTACAGTACTCCATCACATCATATACGCCTATTAAATGTTTTTACAAGTAAAAGGTAACTATGAGTGGTAAATGAATGTTTTGGAATAAAACAATTCTATATTTCAGGGTTCATACACTTTTTCACCAATGATTTTCAATGACTTCTCCAGGACCTTTACCTAATTTTCCATGACCAAAAAAAGTACTCTTTCTCAGCGGTACCACTGAAAATGGTTTACCCTAAACCATGGAACAGGAAAATAAGATCTGCATATGAAACATGTTGTGCCTATCTAAAACAAATCCAATAATAGGCTTACTAGCTTCTTCACGCAAAAGCAACTAAAATCTCTCACCAGCAAAACACCTCGTCAGTTAAAAGCCATTTTACGTTTCATTACTATACCATACAGTATGTATTATCATTAGAGTATTACTATTTTGGTGATTAGATCAAATATAAATTCTATTTGATGCAACTTTAGTTACATTTCCATAACTTTTCCAGGGCCTGGAATTAGCATTTTGAATTTCCATGACTTTTCCAGGTTTTTAATGACCGTAAGAACCCTGATATTTGCTTCTGAAACGATGTCTAAATAGGTATGGTACTTGAGTAAATGTACTTCCCACTTCTGTTAATAATCCTAAAAAGCCAGCCATGCTCTATTTATGTAAGTTCAAATATTCAAAAACTCTACTAACTGAACTTTTCTTTTTAAGATATGGCATGTTGAATAAAAGTGCTGAAAGTATGCTAAGCAGGGGCAAAGCCACACGTCCTTTTAGAGATGAATGCAGGCAGGAGACTCAGCTGCAGGTATGTTGTTATTATTCTGCTAACCTATTCAAATTGAGAACAACTCTTTGCGGGTGGCTCATAAAACACAGACTAATCGCTTTGGTCAACACAGTGGGGGGGGGTTCATCAGAGAAGCCCACACTGTGAACAAGCAGCCACGACTACCTGGCTGTGAGTCGGTGTTTAACCAAAGGATAGAGGAAGCAAAGGGGGGCAAACAGCGTCCTCTGTGATCTATTCTTGTGTGATTAAGGATGCTAATCCATGCGCACTGTTTAATCCTGCAGAATAACTCACTGCAGCTTCTTTTAATACACGCTGATACAGGAAAGAGACGATCAATGAGTGTGAAGCCAAAACACACTGATAAAAAGCAAGGAGGTTTACAAAGCAAGCGTTCAATGCAAGAAAGGAGGTGTAGTATTAGCACAGTTTAGTTGGAAACAACTTGCTTTAGACAGCATTTTTCTGCACAGATAAGAGAATATAATAAAGACAAATCAGGGATGGTGGTTCAATGTATTTGATCAATTCTCCATCTAGTTCTGAATCTGGTTGTCAAATCTATTTAGCTTTCAACATAAAGATGGATTGGTTTCTCTTCTAATTTAATGTCAAAATATGTGAAAAAAACACAAAGACATTGCACTTAACGTAAGGGTCCTGGGAATATGTAATAAAAATTGTATAAATTATTACAGTAATAAGAAAAATGTGACTTTGGATAAATAAATAATATAAGTGATTTTAAAAAAAATGACTTCTTTAAAGCTGTTTCTGTACATTGACAGTTTTAATTACTCTACTAATACAGTTTAGACTTTTTTAAATTGTTCTAAAAGCAAATACAAATACTTTAAAATTGGGGGTTTTAACAGATCTTTTGGGGGCCAGAATAACACTTTGTGAACACAACATGGCACGTTTGTTAGCATGCAGTACATTTGTTAACCATGTAGCCATATGGAGCAGCATTAGCTTAACGAGCCTTCATTTGGAGAGAGAGGACAAATGTGTAATATTCCCCAATCATTCTAGATCCATGAGTGAAGTGTGATTATATAGAGTCACATTAGAGATGATACACAATGCTGTATTCCTGTTCAGTCTCACTCTGATGTGAGAGGATGTGGCCTTCACTGACCCAACTCTGCATGTCTGTTTCCTTTGTTTACCTTTTATTATACGTCCTTGCACAATGCTAATGTGTGCAGCTGAGGAAAGAACACCCACATCATGCATCTAGACATTTTGCAGGTCACACATTTCAATATGGATTAACTAGAGGCAAGATGCAGAAGTGCAAAGTACATCTGACTCACAAAAGGTAAGGGAAAGTATGCATAGAATATGAAAATATATGAGTATAACCACATGTAAATCCTTAACATAGTCTCTGTTAAACACATAGAAGACTACAAATACAATTTAACAGTGTAAAAGGCAATCATAGTATAAGACTATATGTTTTAAATGATTATATGGTCATTTGACACGACACTCACCTGAACAGGTAGTCTCTGTCTCTGTGGCGACACCCGAAGAACAGCCATGTCTCTCCAAACATGGCGTCAGGGTTCTCCTTCCTCTCCATCTCCCTGAAAGTCAAACAGCGGATGTTAGCGGTCAATCAATAGCAGCAGACAAGCGCAGCAGATGGAGGAGAGCGAGTCCTTCCTGCTGCAGAGGTTAAAGAAGAGTAGTGACACCATTAAGCACCGTCTGCAGTGACAGAACACAAAGTGCCACCATTACCTAATGCCCGCTGCAGCGAGGACATTATACGTATTATTACATTCCACCCAAACAGAAGGATACGTCCCATCAAGATGAACTGCAATCAAGCTCCAACTAAAAAAAACTGCTTCTGCAAAAAAGTGATTCCCTCTGCTCTGGCGGTTTGGGAGTTTGGCAAAGCTCCCAGAATCCTTTGCAGGCGATGGCACAAAGCGGCTCTGAAGATATCTTCACCGCACACCTGCTGTAAAGGTGACAGCTCCCCCCC